AGGAAACGATTTGATTTATAAGCCATGGTCCGTGATCTGATACACATACTAACCGGCTTCGACCATAATTTCTTGCTGTTTCAACCTTCGAATTCTCAGTTTTTCGAAATTTTAGTTTGGGGACTTTTCAGTTTACTCCTATTTATTATTTAATTTTTAATTTCTCAATTTTTCAATTTCTCGGTTTTCAGTTTTTCTCTTCAATTGTACGATTTTTAAATATTTCGATTTTTCAATTTTTGACTTTTATAAACTCTGTATTTGTCGATTTTTCAATTAATTGATTTTTCAGGTATTTTGATTTTTCAATTTTTCGATTCTTTAGATTCTCAGTTTTTGGATATTTCAGTTTTGGGATTTTTCAGTTTTTCGATTCGTCAGTTTTTCTTTCATTTTTCAATTTTTCGATATTTCACTTTTGGGATTTTTCAATATTTCTGTTCTTCGACTTTTCCATTTTTGACTTCTGGATTTTTCGATGTGTCGACTTTTTACTTTTTCGATTTTTAAATTTTAGAGTTCTCAATTTTTTTGTATTTTAATTTTTCAATATTTAAAATTTTAGATTTTTCTATTTCTCGATTTTTCATTTTAGCTCTTCCATATTTCAATTTTTCAAATGTTTCGATTTCTTAATCTTTCGATTTTTCGACTTTCCGGTTTTAGTTTTTCTGTTTTTCAATTTTCGATTTTTCAATTAATCGATGTTTTGATTTTCCCATTTCTTGACTTTCGAGGGTTTCGATATTCCTGTTCAATTCTTTAATTTTTCGATTTTTCAGATTTTTGATTTTTCATTTTTTAGTTTTTTTAAGGTTTCGATTTTTTGACTTCACTTTATGGATTTTTCGATTGCTCAATTTTTTGACTTTTTAAGTTCTCAGTTTTTGAATATTTCAGTTTCTGGATTTTTCAGGTTTTCCCATTTTTCAGTTTTTCTTTCATTTTTCAGTTTTTCGATATCTCAGTTTTGGGATTTTTCAATAGTTTGATTCTTCGACTTTTCGATTTTTGACTCCTGGATTTTTCGATGTGTCGATTTTTTTACTTTTTCGATTTTTTAATTTTTAAAGTTTTAGATTTTTCGATTTCTCGATATTTCATTTCAGTTCTGCGATATTTCAATTTTTCAAGTTTTCGAATTTTTCAAATGTTTCGATTTCTTAATCTTTTGATTTTTCGACTATCCGGTTTTAGATTTTCTGTTTTTCAATTGTCATTTTGTCAAATTTTCGATTTTTTAATTTTTCAAATTTGACTTTTATAAACTCTCAATTTTTCGATTTTTCAATTAATCGAAGTTTTGATTTTCCCATTTCTTGACATTCGAGTGTTTCGATTTTCCTGCTCTTCAATTCTTTAATTTTTTGATTTTTCAGGTTTTTGATCTTTCAATTTTTCGATTTTTTAAGGTTTCGACTTCACTTTATGGATTTTTCGATTGCTCAATTTTTTTACTTTTTAGGTTCTCAGTTTTTGGATATTTCAGTTTTCGGATTTTTCAGGTTTTCCCATTTTTCAGTTTTTCTTTCATTTTTCAGTTTGTCGATATCTCAGTTTTGGGATTTTTCAATATTTTGATTCTTCGACTTTTCGATTTTTGACTCCTGGATTTTTCGATGTGTCGACTTTTTTACTTTTTCGATTTTACAATTTTTCGATTTTTAAATTTTAGATCTTTTAATTTTCAAAATTTTAGATTTTTCGATTTCTCGATTTGTCATTTCAGTTCTTCGGTATTTCAATTTCTATTTTTCGACTTCACTTTTTTGATTTTTCGATTTTTCAGTTTTTAGATATTTCAGTTTTAGGATTTTTCAATATTTCAATTCTTCGGTTTTTCTATTTTTGACTTCTGGATTTTTCGATGTGTTTTACATTTTCGATTTTTCAATTTTTGGATTTTTAAATTTTAGATTGTTCAATCTTTTGATATTTTAGTTTTTCAATATTTCTTAGTCTTTCGATTTTTCGACTTCCTGGCTTTCGATTTTCAGTTTTTCAATTTGTTATTTTGGCTTCTTTCGGTTTCTCATTTTTTCCAGTTTTCCATTTTTTCGTTTTTTTTTATTTTTCCGCTTTTCCAACTTTTAACTTTTTGTTTGTCGATTTCTCTATTTTTCAATTTTTCGACTTCATCACTTTTCGATTTCTCGTTCTTTTGATCATTCAATCTCTCAATTTTTCAATTTTTCGAATTTTAAGTTTGTTGACTTCTCGATTTATCGACATTTGGATTTTCCGATATTTTGATTGTCAATTTATAAATTGTTCAATTTTTAACTTTTCGATTTTGGCCTATTTCGGTTTCTCAATTCTTCGACTTTTCGACTCCATGATTTATTTCTTGATCTTTTGATTTTTCGATTTCTCGGTTTTTAGATTTTCCAGTTTTTCGATGTTTCGATTTTTCAGTTATCCGACTTTTTGAATTTGGGAGTTTCGATTTCTCAATTTTAGATTTTAGATTTTTGAATTTTACATTTTTTCGATTTTTTAAGGTTTCGATTTTTCGATTATTAGATTTCTCGATTTTTCAAATTTTCGATTATTTTAATTTTTCATTTTTTTTTTCTCACTGTTAATATCATACAGTGTATTGAAAACAACCACAAAAATTGTCACTAAAAACTTTCATACAAAATAGAACACAGTGTTTCCAAAACATTTTCCCGAAACAAATCCATTGGGTTATTACGATTTCAACAATATTCTTAGTTTAAGACGTTTTGCTAGTATAAAACACAAATAAAGAATTAATTCTTAGTTAAACAAAATATGTAAAATCATCTAAATATGTACCAAAAATATTCACTTGGTTGTTATAAAAACCGACTAAACAACTATTTCCCGCAGAAATTATAGTCCAAACCAACCAAATCGCTTCTGAACGCTTAGAGTCGACATTGGCCTGAGCGCGCTCTGGTCTGTAGATCAAACAAGTTTTTTTATTGGCATCGACTATTTAAATTTGGCGCTTGCCTTTGGCGGTTGAGGACTCCAATGTCAATAAGGGTGGTTTTGCAAAATCAGACTGTATGTCGCATCTATATTAATCTATGGTCATACCAACCTAAGAGATTAAAACTTACTAGTTGTTTTTTATACCTACATATTAAATAAAATAAAACGAAAGCGTAAAAGTAGCATGTTACACTCACAATATACTATTTTTGACTAGTAGAAACCGGAAGACAATAAATTGAAAAAATGAGCTTTCAATTTTTGACGCAAAATGATTTTGATTTGATTTTTTAAAGAAACCTAACCTAATTCTTCAAGACAAAGAAGACCGCTTGTCGCTGAATTAATTTTATCTTCCACCGTCTGGGAGCGTATACCCAAGAATGTTAATCATAATAATTGCACACGTTTATTGATTTTAAGAAATAATTACATCACGTATGTCATACATAACCTATATCTTTTCGTTTTAACCTTGGCAGTAAAGTTCAACTTCACTACCCCGAAACAAGTCGACAATTGTATGCTTCATGGCCAGTAGTGAAAAAAATCAAGTTCAAGAAGTTCAACTTTACCACCAAGATTAAAAAAGAAGAATTAGGTTATGTATGAAACTAACATTATTAACTAACTAACTATAGAAACTAACATTTGAGTTGGTGCCACATAAAATTAATTCAGCGACAGGTGCAAACGGCTTCCTTTTTCTTTGAACATTTAAGAACAAAATCATGGAAAATGGTAGAACAATTATTTAATAAACTTTACTAAGAACAAAAAATTATTTCAAATTGTAATTAGTGGTACAGTTGTGGCAAGTCATTGTAATTCCTCCAATGGAAGTGTTCGTCGCGTGATTTATATTTGTACTCGTCGAGGTACTGGGTAAGTTTGTCACAGGAATATCAATAGCAGTGTCACTAACATCTGTAGATTTCCAGTGATTTAATGATAAAATATCTCTGCCACTTTTAGCCAACATTGCAGCTGACGAGCGACGCAACGAATGTCCGGTGTATAACTCTGGATTTTCCAATTTCAAAAATTTTGCAACTTTATTGGGTATGTTACTAACTGTATTGTGGCCTATATTTTGCTTTGTAGGTTTACCACCTCGAAAACAAATAAAAGCTTTCGGCATATCTGGAGTGGGTCTGTTGGTGAGATACTTTTTAACTATTTTGATCCACAAAGGCTCAGTGATGACAAATTTTCTTGATGTGGCATTCTTGGCATGTGGTATATTGACAATGATAAGGTCATCTCGCATATCGATGTCTTTCATGTGCATATTGCAGATTTCCTCCGTGCGACAAGCCCCAGTTAATCCAACAATAAAAATCGCCTGTATAATAGAAAATTTAAAACACCAGCAACAAGTTACACTGGAAATGGTACCTTTGCCGATAAAAAATCGTTATCAGGAGCTTCTACCAAGAACTTAGTTATTTCTTCTTTGGTAAATGCACGAGATTTTTTAGGTTTGTACGTTGCGTTTTTGCGCTTTACGAACGTAATCAGTTTGAAATATTTTGTAATGTCAATGTTTTCCATTAAGGAAAGTGTGGAGCGCAGCATGGAATAAACTGCCCATAAAGTGGAAGGCTTCTTTCTTTTTGACTGTTCCTGAAAATACACTAACAGCACGCTTTCTGAGGTCCCAGCGACCTGCTTCTTTGAACACCAGTCTTTGTATTCTGTGTAAACCTTCATATAAATGTTCTTGGATTTTTCCGGCAATAACTTTTCTGGCGGAATTTGCGCCTTCGCCTCTAGTTCTGAAGACATTAAGAAAATACGCAAAGTAGTGTTGATTTTGCGTCAAAATATTGAAAATTCATTGTTTTAATTTATTGTCTTACAGTTTCTACTGGTAAAAATCACGATTCATGGCTACTAGTGAAAAAAATAGTATATTAACTACGTTTGTGAAGCCAGTTCTAGAATGACCATCTTCACAACCTTGGTTAATAATATACTATATTAACACCCCATAACAAAACACTAGTAACAAGAATAGGAATTTTAAGCATTACCCTCAGTGCTGGTCTCTGTGATGTCCAATTTCGTGTCCTCGCTATTTTCTTCATCTTCTACATTATCCACAGGACTTGCTTGATCACTGTTGTACTCATAGCATTCAACTAAAATATCTATCACTTCTGTACTTTCCTCTTTAACGGTTGAAGTCGCCACAAACTCCTTCAACCTTTGACTGCTATTTTCGCATAATATTTTGAAGGAATAGGCATCGTTCACTCGGCTTATGCACGTCTCGCAAATCAGCGTTGGCAGTCCGTCATTTGAATTCACCTGAAATTCACACCGTTATTTTTGTACGTTTGTATCGCTAGTAATTACCTCCAGTGATGTACATTCTTTCAACAATTTGTCTAGAGACGACGTGAAAATATCTTTCATGTCTTCAGTTTGCACTAAACAAGTTCGACATACTTTGAACAAGTTTTCATTGGTTAGATTGTGTTCCATGTTTCGAGTTGTTCAAATAAAATGTAGATGTAAAACTGAGGTTTAATTAATTAACAATGAGAAAATTTATTTTGTTTTATAAATCTCGTAAATAAAACAGAATTATTGTTCAGTTTCACATAACCTACAAAAACTTCGGTGACGTTTGGCGTTTGACAATTTGTGGTTCTGTGTTTGACAGAATAAAAGTGGGAAGTGGTGAGAGAGTCGTCAACGGTATTATTAGTATTTGATTTATTGATCAACGGTACCATAAAAACTGCTATTTACATCGTTAATTACACGGAAATGCGACAATACGCCATATTAGTGTGACGTAGCAGTTGTGGTAGGTCAAGCACAGTGAAGCTAAACAAACACCGAATTGTTAAGGGTTTTGCGTGTTTTTATTAATTATAAACTTATTATACAGTTGTAGTGTATCAAAAGTGAATTGTGAGTGTTGGTAAGTACTAATAAACAATCTAGAATTGATTAAACGTCCTGATGGATTCTTCTTTTGTTAAAATTTTATGTTGATACGTTTTAACCTCACTTTCTTTCTTTGTGTGTAAATTCAAAATCCTGCAAAGCAGCCGAACTATTAATATTTCCTCTCACATAATAACAAAGTGAGGTAACTTGCTGACTCATATAAAAACGAAAAGTTGTTTGTTCTTAATATTTATATTATTTGTAGAGGAGTTGAACTCAGACCTTTGAAGGGGCAAAATGGGAATGTGTTGGGCACCTGATTGCAAGCACTACAGTACCCGCGATACTTGTAGGTTTTTTAGGTTTCCGAAATCGGAAAAGGAAAGAGCAAAATGGAAACGTTTGCTTAGGTGAACATCATAACATATTTTTTCATATTTATAAAATCGTTTCTAACTTTTTAGGAGAGATGTTGAACCAGGCCCTGGTGCATACGTCTGCAGTTGCCACTTTAGGGACGGAGAGAAAAAGAATGGCCCTGAGTTGTTCTTACATAATATTAAAAAAAAATTCATTGCTTCAACGCCTGAGAAAAAAAAGAAGCGAACAAGGAAGATGAAGACTTTCGATGATCCAGCAATACCTGGTCCTTCATCAGCTGAAGAGTAATGATTAATAAAAATACATATTTATTGCATTAAACCATTTAAATTTTTAGAATGCCATCAACTTCAACATCGTTTAGAGATGTGGCAATATTAACTGTCGAAGGTAATTATTATTCATATCCAACATCAGCAAATTGTGAGGCGTTATATTTAAGATTCTTCTTATGATTAACCAAGTGTCAGCGGATCACTTAAACATTAATGTTTTCAGAACCATCAGCATCACATGCAAGACCATCAACCTCCAGTGCAGGGCCATCTTCAGCAGCTCAATCGGTGTCAGCTGCTTCAAATGTTGCTCTGGAAGTTGAAGTGTATTTTTTAAAACAAAGACTCCAAGAATGTGAGGAAAAGATTAAGTACCTCTCAGTGAGATTTTCATATGAGAATATTAAGAATAATGACAGACTTGTACTTTTGTACACTGGACTGCCAAAAAGTACAATTTTTGAGACTTTATTTAAGCTCATTGAAAACATTGAGATTAAGTGGTACTTAAAATGGGGCATCAAAAAGTTGAATAAAATTGATCAACTGCTGCTGACGTTGATGAAACTTCGGCTAAACTGCCCCCACCTAGATTTAGCACAACGTTTCGATATTTCGCAAGCAGCTGTAACGAATATCGTGATTACATATGTGCATCTAATTTATGAAGTCCTATATCAACAATTTATGGAGGTGATACCATCTCGACAGAAAAATAAGTCTTGTTTGCCAACAAGCTTCAGCAATTTTACAAATTGCAGAGCAGTTCTAGACTGTACAGAAATATTTACAGTTGTTGCTAGAACGTCAATGAAAAAGCAACGTCTTACGTACAGCAACTACAAACACCACAACACTTTTAAGGGCTTAATAGGTGTGGCTCCAAATGGTGTCATTACCTATGTAAGTGACCTGTACGTGGGATCTACTTCAGATCAAAAAGTTGTACAGGATTGTGGGATATTAAAACAGTTAGAAGTGGGCGATTTAATATTAGCCGACAGGGGTTTTCTTATTCAAAATATATTGCCTCCTGGTGTGAGTTTGAATATTCCACAATTTTTAAGAAGTCCCCAGTTTACACCAGAACAAGTCCAATGCACTGAAAATATAGCACGTGCAAGAATTCATGTGGAACGGGCTATACGACGCATGAAGTGCTATCACATTTTAAATTTCATGCCACGCTCATTATGTAGTTATGGGGATGTGGTATTTAAAGCTGTGGCAGCATTAACAAATCTACAATATCCCCTTATTAGAGAAGTGAGCCAATTTTTTAACGACGAGTAAACGTTTAATGAAACATTGTACGTTAAAAAAAACCTTTAAAGCAATGCTCATGGAGTCCCTTAACACCAGACCACAGGAAGTCAGCTGGTAAGAGTCTGAAACTTCCCAAAATAGTGGAACCATGCTCCAGGAGGATTTCGCCCCCACCAGAAAAAAAAACTACATAATTTCTTATGTACAATTGTTTTATTTTAAAATATATGGAAGATACTTTGAAATATAAAAGTTTTTTAAAGTTTCCAAATTTTTTCCCCACTCCATATCTTTTTCTATTTGGAAAATTAGTGTGTTTTTTAATCTCCACACTACAAAGTGGCAGACATTTCGACCTGATAGATATAACTGGCCCTGCACCTGATGGTAATAGTTATGTTCTTGGTTAATTATCAAGTCTTCTCCTTCATACCAACAGAAGTATTTTTTATCCAGTTCCTTGAAGGAAAGGGCATCTCGATATTTGTACGGACATTTTATTTCCACCACTGCATCAGATCCAACTAATCCATCAGGACTGGCCCCTAAAAATCCTGATCTATCTAACCAAAAGCCAGTTGGTTCCACTTCTGCAACGACAGCTTCCCTGAATGCTTGCAGAGCTGTCTTTTCATGTTCTTTGCCCCACTGTACAGCCGCAACCCGATCCAAGTTGTAACCTTCCGCCAGACTCTTAAACAGCGACGGAGGGAATTTATTCCTTTTAATTGCTGACAGCACCATACCAAATCTGCTAGCTGTTAGACGATGCTTTCTGGCAATGTGCCAGTTTTCATTGACATGTTGCCCTTTTGTCAAATTTACAATTTGGGAAATTATTTCTTTGGTTATTTTACTTGTTTTGATTACAAAATCATCCTTGTCTTCGGCCGATATGTATTGGGGTGAATGCAAAATTTCTTCAATATCTGGGATTAACATGGACGCCTCTTGAGTGGCTTCAGGACGCAACAGCCAAGAAAATCCCACAATATTTGTTGCGCCTAATTGTTTCCGAAATTCTGCAATTTCTGCGTCGGTTGCCTTTCTCTGACCAGCTTTATAACTTTGCTTTGCTGGATAAATATCCTTTAATTTTACCACTCCCATTACCACCTTTTACGCGTGGAGCACTCCACTGACATTCCACATCAGTGGTGCTCACATGGTAGTGAGCATGGTATAATAAAGCCGCCATATGGTGGCAAAGGACCTTTCCTCTTGGGCAAGTACATGACGCCTCCTTAACTCCTTCATCTAGATCAAAGGAAACCTAAAAAAAATGTAATTAAAAACTCGTAACTGCATAACTCCCAACATACCTCAACGTTATAATTGTTTGCTTTCATGCTGGCTTTAACCTCCCCCTTTATCAACATTGGTTTCACAGTTCCGTCACATAAAAATTTTTGTACATGCCCACTGCTGTAACCATTTTCACCTCTTTTAAGGAATCTAGTGGCATCAATGAAAAACAAGGCTATGTGATGAAACTTTATGACATGTTGTTCAGGCACTGAAAATATGATAATCATTTACAGGGACAAAAATTAAGCAATGTATTACTTAAGTATATACGCTAATTTGCTATAAAATAATTTCTTCAACAAAGTCTTACACTAAGCAGTAATCCACTACAACTACAATACTTACTTATACTACTATAAAAACTATCAAATAACACAAGAAAACGACAAAATTTAAAAATCAACTTGAATCCAAATGGTGGAAAAGGTTTGTTTAGCTTCACGCACTGACCACTCTCAACAAAAATGGCGTCATCTACGTCATCACTAATAGAGCGTATTATAGGTACGTTTCGTTTTTTTTTTACTTATGGTTCCGATGTTACATTCTACCTCATTAACTCGTTATAGGTTTATTCCTCTATAACACTGAAAATACGAAATTAGAAAAATTGTCGACGTGTTTCGCGAACCATGTAGGCATTATCATCTATAATTTTAAGAAATTATAAAATTCTCTTTAGATATTTATAGTGTTTAAAATTGTCAACAAATCATATTCATCTAGAATTGAATTCCGTGTTTCAAACACTCTGCCAAGGACTGTATCACTAATTTTCCACTATTAATAATAGTTAAAATCAGTAGATGTATTCTGAATTAATTTATGACGTATTTTGATTTTAATAAAGACATTATTATTTAAATAAGTTGTACCACTAACAAATATTTAATATGACAGGGGCATTTAAAGTGTGTTACTTTGTTAGTGTGACGATTTTTGGGCGATTCGATGATGTTTAACACACACAAAAAAGAGAGAAAACAAAAGATAATGGTGCCTTTTTACGATATTTCTCTGTCACATTCTTTTGGTTGATCTAATTGTTTTCAGGGACTTACAATATGAAAAAAGCTGCAGTTTGATGTACAATACATCTACATTAATATTATTTTATCACAGAAAAAATTGGTCGAAGATTATTTCAACAGAGTTTCTCTCCCCTCGATTTTTTGCTTGAATTTTTCAATTCTTCATTTTTTCATTTTTTTCTTCAGTTTTTCGCTCTGCACGTTTTTGTTATTTTTTCACGTATTCGATTTTTCGGTGTTTCGTTTTTATTTTTTTGTTTTTTCAATTGTGATTTTTTCAGTTTCTCGTTTCTTTAATTTTTCGATATTCGATTTTTCATTTTTTTTTGTTTTTTTTTTTTTTTAAGACTCGACTCTTCGAATTTTCATTTCTAAATTTTTCAGTTTTAATTGTTCAATTTTTCATTTTTTTCTTCAGTTTTTCGATTTGCAATTTTTCAAGTTTAAAATTTTCAATTTTCCAACTTTTGATTTTTTCAATTCTTAAATTTTGCATTTTTTCGGTTTCTTATTTTCCTTATTTTTTCACTTATTCGATTTTTCTGTGTTTGTCGTTTTTTCAATTTTTAATTTTTTTTTCTTCAGTTTTTCGATTTGCCATTTTTCAAGTATAAAATTTTCAGTTTTCCAACTATTGATTGTTTCAATTTTTAAATTTGGATTTTTTTTATTTGCGTTATTTTTTCACTTAGTCCATTTTTCAGTGTTTCGATTTTATTGTTTGTTTTTTCAATGTTAATTTTTTCAGTTTGTCCTTTCTTCAATTTTTTGATTTTCGATTTTTCATTTATTTTTGCTTTCGAGTTTTCATTTCTAAATTTTTCAGTTTTGATTCTTCAATTATTCATTTTTTTTTCTCCAGGTTTTTGATTTGTAATTTTTCAAGTTTAAAATTTCCTATTTTCCAACTTTCGATTTTTTCAATTTTTATATTTTGCAATTTTTGGGTTTTTTATTTTCGTTATTGTTTTAACTTATTCGATTTTTCAGTGTTTCGTTTTTATTTTTTTTGCTTTTTCAATTTTAATTTTTTCAGTTTCTCGTTTATTCGATTTTTCGATTTGCTATTTTTCATTTTTATTTTGTTTTTTCATTTTTAAGATATGCGACTCTTCGAGTTTTCATTTCTAAATTTTTCAGTTTTAATTCTTCAATTTTTCATTTTTTATTTTCTCCAGGTTTTCGATTTGCAATTCTTCAAGCTTAAAATTTTCAATTTTCCAAATTTTGATTTTTTCAATTTTTATATTTTGCAGGTTTTCGGTTTTTTATTTTCGTTATTTTTTCACTTATTCGATTTTTCATTGTTTCTATTGTATTTTTTTGTTTGTTCAATTTCAATTTTTCGATTTTCAATTTTTATTTTATTTTTTGCTTTTTCATTTTTAAGATATGCGACTTTTCGAGTTTTCATTCCTAAATTTTTCAGTTTTAATTCTTCAATTTTTCGTTTTTTAATTTCTCCAGGTTTTCGATTTGCAATTTTTCAAGTGTAAAATATTCAATTTTCGAAATTTTGATTTTTTTTAATTTTTATATTTTGCAATTTTGCGGTTTTTATTTTCGTTATTTTTTCACTTAAGTATTCGATTTTTCAGTGTCTCGATTTTATTTTTTGGTTATGCAATTTTAATTTTTTCAGTTTCTCGTTTCTTCAATTTTTCCATTTTCAATTCATTTTTTTACTTTCTTATTTTAAGATATGCGACTTTTCGAGTTTTCATTTCTAAATTTTTCAATTTTAACTTTTCAATTTTTCATTTTTTTTCTTCTGTTTTTCGATTTCTAATTTTTCGAATTTAAAATTTACAATTTTCCAACTTTCGATATTTTCAATTTTTATATTTTGTAATTTTTCGGTTTTTTATTTTCGTTATTTTTTCATTTATTCTATATTTCAGTGTTTCGTTTTTATTTTTTGTTGTTTCAATTTTAATGTTTTCAGTTTCCCGTTTCTTCAATTTTTCGATTTTTATTTTTTAAGTTTTTTTTTGTTTTCGCATTTTTAAGATATGCGACTCTTCGAGTTTTCATTTCTAAATTTTTCAATTTTAATTCTACAATTTTTAATTTTTTTCTTTAGTTTTTTGATTTACAATTTTTCAAGTTTAAAATTTTCAATTTTTCAACTTTTGATTTTTTCAATTTTTATATTTTGCAGGTTTTGGGTTTATTTTCGTTATTTTTTCACTTATTCGATTTTTCATTGTTTCTATTTTATTTTTCTGTTTTTTCAATTTCAGTTTATTCAGTTTCTCGTTTCTTCAATTTTTAGATTTCCAATTTTTCATTTTTTTTTGCTTTCTCATTTTTAAGACATGCGACTTTTTCGAGTTTTCATTCCTAAATTTTTCAGTTTTAAGTTTTCAATTTTTCATTTTTTATTTCCTCCAGTTTTTCGATTTATAATTTTTCAAGCTTAAAATTTTCAATTTTCCAAATTTTGAGTTTTTCAATTTTTATATTTTGCAGGTTTTCGGTTTTTTATTGTCGTTATTTTTTCACTTATTCGATTTTTCAGTATTTCAATTTTATTTTTTATTTTTTCAATTTCTCGTTTCTTCAATTTTTCATTTTTTTTGCTTTCTCATTTTTAAGACATGCGACTTTTCGAGTTTTCATTCCTAAATTTTTCAGTTTTAATTCTTCAATTTTTCGTTTTTTAATGTCTTCAGGTTTTCGATTTGCAAATTTTCAAGTGTAAAATTTTCATTTTCCAAATTTTATTTTTTTCAATTTTTATATTTTGCGATTTTGCTGTTTTTATTTTCGTTATTTTTTCACTTAAGTATTCGATTTTTCAGTGTCTCGATTTTATTTTTTAGTTTTTCAATTTTAATTTTTTCAGTTTCTCGTTTCTTCAATTTTTCGATTTTCAATTTATTTTTTTGCTTTCTTGTTTTAAGATATGCGACTCTTCGAGTTTTCATTTCTAAATTTTTCAGTTTTAATTTTACAATTTTTATTTTTTTGTCTCCAGTTTTTGGATTTACAATTTTTCAAGTTTAAAATTTTCAATTTTCCAACTTTTGATTTGTTTCAATTTTTATATTTTGGGATTTTTCAGTTTTTTATTTTCTTAATTCGATTGTTCAGTGTTTCGTTTTTATTTTTTGTTTTTTCAGTTTTAATTTTTTCAGTTTCCCGTTTCTTCAATTTTTTGATTTTCAGTTTTATATTTTTTTTTACTTTCTCATTTTTAAGATATGCGACTCTTCGAGTTTTCATTTCTAAATTTTTCAATTTTAATTCTTCAATTTTTCATTTTTTTTCTCCAGTTTTTCGATTTATAATTTTTCGAGTTTAAAATTTTCAATTTTCCAAATTTTGATTTTTTCAATTTTTATATTTTGCAGGTTTTCGGTTTTTTATTTTCGTTATTTTGTCATTTGTTCGATTTTTCAGTATTTCGATTTTATTTTTCTGTTTTTTCAATTTCAATTTTTTCAGTTTCTCGTTTCTTCAATTTTTCGATTTTCAATTTTTAATTTTTTTTTGCTTTCTCATTTTTAAGACATGCGACTTTTCGAGTTTTCATTCCTAAATTTTTCAGTTTTAATTCTTCAATTTTTCGTTTTTTAATTTCCCCGGGTTTTTGTTTAGCAAATTTTCAAGTTTGAAATTTTCAATTTTCCAAGTTTTGATTTTTTTCAATTTTTATATTTTGCAATTTTTGGGTTTTTTATTTTCGTTATTTTTTCACTTATTCGATTTTTCATTGTTTCTATTTTATTTTTTTGTTTTTTCAATTTCAGTTTTTTCAGTTTCTCGTTTCTTCAATTTTTCATTTTTTTTTTGCTTTGTCATTTTTAAGATATGCGACCCTTCGAGATTTCATTTCTAAATTTTTCAGTTTTAATTCTTTAATTTTTCTTTTTTTTTTCTCTAGTTTTTCGATTTCAATTTTTTCAGTTTCTCGTTTCTTCAATTTTTCGATTTTTATTTTTTAATTTTTTTTGCTTTCGCATTTTTAAGATATGCGACTCTTCGAGTTTTCATTTCTAAATTTTTCAGTTTTAATTCTTCAATTTTTCATTTTTTATTTTCTCCAGGTTTTCGATTTGCAATTTTTTAAGTTTAAAATTGTCACTTTTCCAACTTTTGATTTATTTCATTTTTTATATTTTGCAATTTTTCGGTTTTTTATTTTCGTTATTTTTCACTTTCGATTTTCAGTGTTTCGTTTTTATTTTTTGTTTTTTCATTTTTAATTTTTTCAGTTTCTGGTTTCTTCAATTTTTCATTTTTGCTTTTTCATTTTTTAGATATGCGACTCTTCCAGTTTTCATTTCTAAATTTTTCGGTTTTAATCCTTCAATTTTTTTTCTATAGTTTTTCGATTTTAAATTTTTCAGTTTCTCGTTTCTTCAATTTTTCAATTTTTCATTTTTTTTGCTT